CAGTGGCTAGTCCCAGGCACAATCATAACACATTGAGCCTCCAATTCCTGGGCTCAAGTGATCCTCATGCCTCAGCCTCCTGAGTAGCTGGCACTACAGGTGAGTGCCATCATGCCAGCACTGTTGTTACTTTTCATCTGTACGTTTTTTTTTAACCTTAATTTAAAACTTATAGAAAAGTTGTAAGAATCGTGCAGAGAACTCCTGAAGCCTTATCTGAATTCCCACTGTTAACATTTTGCCACATTTCTCATTAGCTTTCTTCACTTGTAGCCTTTGGAGGGGTTAGAGGGTGGGCAAAGCTGGTGTCAGCTCATTTTTCCAAAGGGAAACTGAGGCACAGAGAGGGACTTGCTCAAGTGCCTTTGATTAGAAACTGAACCAGATTACCTTCTCTCAGTGACACACATGCATGCATTTGGCAGGCGTTTTCTTGATCACTTTCTGCGTTGGGCGCTGGGGTGCAGGAATGACAGAACTGACAGGGATGTGGGCAGGACAGGTCTGCGTGGAGAAGAGACTGGCAAAGGAAAAGCCAAGAGGTCTATGGGTATCATTCTCAACGTCGGAAGTGGAATGCAGAAGGAATCTGCAGCTTAAGTGTGTGTCCCAGGGAATTTGACTGCCAGGCGGTCCCAGAGGCCACTTTCAGAAACAGTGTCTGGGCTTTTCCTGTGGGGAGTGTGCTCATTTCCCATCTCAAAAGGGAGCTGGGAACTGGAAGGGTGCCTGCCTGGAGCAGGGAGATGAGTCCAGGCCAGCCAAGAGAGCAGCTCCTCACCCACTCATCAACACCCACTGAGCCATTCCTCTTCCCGCAGAGCTCTGAAGCCACGCCCTGGGTCAGAGAGGAGACATCGCCTCTGGAGTCAGTGGTGGGCAAGCCTGAAGCTGCTGGTGGTTGCTGGCGGTGGTCCCTGGCTTTGACCCCATCTGTGGGCCCAGCTCAGGCACCCAGTCCAGGTCTCTTGGTGTAGTCCCTGTGATCTTTGGCCAGTTTCTGATGACTAGGTCAGTTTCCCAAACAGCTTGATGTGGCAGAGAGTTGCTATGGAGAGAGCAGGCACAAGAATTTTAATCACAAGAACCAGCATCCCTGGTGAAGATGCTTACATCAGGCAGTGCGTGCTTTAAACTGGAAAAAAAATACCAAACCCTAAAACCAGGCCTTGCTTCACCACTCGTGCCAGTGATCCCCTACCCATGCTTTCATTCCTTCGGGCCTGAGCCTAGGCACCTCCTTGGAAAATGTGTGCTCTGGTAACTCTGCGCTAGGCAGATCTCCCCAGCACCCGGCCTAGCAGTTAGCACTATGAAAAGGCTTGCTGCACACACAGCAATGCAATCTTGGGCAAGTGCTTTCTCCTCTCTGGACTTCCTTTTTCTTATCCAAAAATACAGGCCGCGTTAGAGGTAAGCGTAGAGTCGAGAGGACTCTGGGCCTAGGGCAGGCAGAAAGATGAGAATGACAGTTGTGGGAGGGGAGAAGGAGGATGGGGAGTCAGAGCTTCGGGGGAGGTGGGGAGGCGGCTGGCTTCTTCTGTTCCTTTTGGTCCTCACTAGTGATCACCCACATCTGGGGCAGAAGGATTAGCTTTGGCTGATGTTAGTCAAGGGCAAGTAGGGGTGACTTCCTGTCACTGGCCCTGCTCTGGCAAAGACTGAATGGATAGCAGCAATGGTGTGTGCGTGGGGGGGGAGGTGTTCCTAGGGGAGAGGGAAAGAGGGTAAAAGAAAGTGGCTTGGCATGGTGGCTCACACCTGGAATCCCAGCACTTTGGGAAGCCAAGGCGGGCACATCCTTGGAGTTCAGGAGTTTGAGACCAGCGTGACCAACATGGTGAAACCCAGTCTCTACCAAAAATACAAAATTAGCCAGGCATTGTGGTAAGCACCTGTAATCCCAGCTACTTGGGAGGCTGAGGCAGGAGAATTGCTTGAATGTGGGAGGCAGAGGTTTCCGTGAGTCGAGACGGTGCCACTGCACGCTCCAGCCTGGGCGAAAGGGTGAGACTTCATCTCAAAAAAAAAACAAAAGGAAGTAGGCGAAGAGGGAGAGAGTTACTGTGGAGGGGAAGTGGGGTGAGTTCCATAACCCCTGAGCCTCCTCTTCCCACTGGCTGCCTTGTCTGCAAATGGGACTAGCATGTCTGCGTGACTGGGATTGGCTGAAGACCACATTGCTTCCATGGCTGCAGAGACAGCTGC